CCTTTTCCTTTTCGAGTCCAACTTTCCTGATAAATTTCTCGTCCTTTAATGCCTTTTTAAACATGGTTTCAAAACCCCATTAATGGTGCGTTTCACTTCGTTTCAGGGCTTCCTTTAACGTCTTCTTTTACCTTTCTTTATTCCTTCTACTGACCCCATTTTCGTATTCCATCCCCCCTCCCTTCGCTTTCAATCACTGAATATGGGTTTCGACTCTGTTTTTGGCCGACCCATTAAATATACAGAGCATCTGAACCATGTTAAGCTCACTTCAGTGCCGGAAACCAGGCAGAGGGTTGTACGGATTTCTGTTTCCGACGGTGACGCCACTGATTCCTCCAGCGATGATGAGCCTGAAATGTTTGGTCGTCAAAGAGTCAAGAAGTTTGTTAATGAAATTACGATTGAACCGTCTTGTTCTGGCGAAGGGAACGGAATCTGGGGTGGGAACAGATCGGAGAGGATTGGACTGAGACGGTCGCCGGGGAAATGTGGGGTTTCGAGGAATCGACGGTCTGTGAAGCCGCCCATTGGGAAGAAGTTCCGCGGCGTGAGACAGAGGCCGTGGGGAAAATGGGCGGCGGAAATCAGAGACCCACTTCGTCGTGTACGGCTCTGGCTGGGAACTTACGACACGGCTGAGGAAGCTGCTATGGTTTACGACAACGCCGCCATTCAACTCCGGGGACCAGATGCACTTACTAATTTCACAACACAACCGCCGAAATCCTCCGCCGGGAAATCCGCCGGCTACAACTCCGGCGACGAATCGAACAACAACATTTGCTCTCCAACCTCTGTTCTCCGATGTCCATCTCCGGCCATTGAAGAAATCCATTCGCAAATCCCCGGCGAGCCCGACAACTCTTGTATGTCGGAAAATCTCACGTCGGAATTCTCGAGCTGCTCCGACACCTTCATTCCCGACGACATTTTCGCCTTCGAAACTACGATTCCAACTTTATTCGACGAGTTAGGCGACGGTTCCTTCAACGACTTCTTCAGTGACGACGGTTCGTTCAACGGCGTGTTTCACAGTCCGGTCGAAGAAATCGGATCCGGGCTCGTGTTCGAATACCCGACACCTCCTCCTGACGACTTCTTTCAAGACTTCAGCGATGTGTTCGGGTCGGATCCTCTCGTCGTCCTCTGAAGCTTTCCCGCCGATGTCCAATCCGTTTATCGGCAAAGTTTTGCTCCGGCCGTGATGAAACGGTGTCGTATTTTGTCTTCATTAATTTGTAATCGTATTCGTATTTTTTTCCTATCTATAAACTATTATTAAATATGAACGAGAGAATGTCTCCAGAACGTTAACGGTGATGGACGGATTTGTCTACGTGTCCATTTAATTTTTCCGTTCCGTTTCTGCACCGTTTTTTTCCTTTTTGGATTGAGCCACGTGTTCTTGTTCACGTGACCGGCACGCTTAGAAAAAGATAAGCCAAAGTTCTGAGCCTACAGAATCCCTCCAAGTTTTAAAAAACAAAATTCGAATACACGTGCACATCACACGTGTCAGTGGACTGAATCTACTTGTATTAAATGTTAGTTAAATTAATAAAAATATTTTTAAAATACTTTTTTTTTAATTCAAAAATATATTTACTAAAAGTAATATTAACACCTTTTATTTTAATAAAAATAAAGGGTAGGAATATAATTTAAAAGAAATTAAAGTATAAAACCTATTTAATATAAATTAAAAAAATTTAATTTTAATTTGACTTATAAATTAATTTCTTTTATGTGGGACTAATTATTGTATTTAATCAATATATATATATATATAAGTAATTACGATTAATGAATTGCAATATCAATAATTATTTATATCCAATTATTATAATTAACCAACATGTAATTAACTAATATGTATCTAGGAAATACAATAATTTACCAATTATAATTTCAAACAATTATTTTATAAATAATTTATTTTGATCCCTAATTTAAAATTTCATCTAAAAACATTATATATATATATATATATATCACTCTCAAATTACCCCTATGAGAATTATAGAATATAATTTTTTTTAAAAATTTTTTTTTATTATTAATGCTATTTTTTAAATTTTATAGCTATTTTTTAAACATAGAAGCTAAATATATTTTTTAATTTTAAAAAAATTTGAAATATATAAATGGATATGTTTGAAGCAAAATACTAATAATTTCCATCCATCCAAAATTACGAGTAAAAAATATTTTTTTTTAGTTTTTTTTATATAAATATCAATATTATTAAGAATATTCTATAATTTAATCAATACTTTAGTAACCTTTTATTTATTTATTTATTTTTGTTGGATAATGTTTATTTAGAATAAAATTAAAAAGATTAAGACGTCAACTAAATTTAATTACATTGACCACAAAATATTCGTTTCTATGTCCAAATATAGAGAGAATCACACGTCAAATCACATAACATAAAGTTGATATATTTATTTTCAGAATGTAAATTCCAAATAATACCCATTAACATTATGTGTAATTGCACTATTGATATATAATATCCCTATTTACTTTATAGTTTATGAAAGAACATGACAAAAATATACCTTTTTACAATATATAAAATAAAACATATAGATTGCATTTATGGAAAATTAAGGTTGAAATCTTAACTTAAAAAAATAAAATTTAAGAAATTCAAATGGTAAAGATCGAGACTTTATTGGTCCCTCGTGGAAAAGGACGATATTTTTGGTGTGTGTGAGAGAAAAAAAATCATTTTTAATGAAACTCTCCGACTCAAATCTTAAAAAGGTTTTTTTTCTTCAAAATTTCATAATATATGAAAATGACCAAAATACCCTTCCACTACCTCTCTCGAGTCTAAACAATTTTTTTTTAGGTAATGTAAATAAACATGTAGAAATGTTCATTTAACTTGCGATGACACAACTCTCCTTTCAACGAGATTGAAAATGTAGAGGCAATGAAGGGAGTTTTTTTTTTTTTTCCGTATTAGATAAATGTTTTTTTTCCGAACTACACTCGTCGACCTCTTATTGATAGGTGACTGAATTGCATGAAAACGATATTAAACCTATCTCAAACTCGTCCTTTTAGAATATGTATATATATTTTTTTGATAAATAAGTTAAAAGAAAAAAAAAAGATATTTGTGAATTCCGATGCAAGTAGGGTAATAGTAATTGATGGCTATTTTAGTGGCACAAAATTCCAAAGGTAGGAAAGAATGATGTTTGAATGAATCAGGGCCGTACACGTAATGTCGGTCAGTTTTAACGGTTTTCCAGTCCCAATTTCCCACGCCCGTTGTCCCCTTTCATATTTTAATTTCCTCTTTTTCCATTTATTTTTAATATTTAATGATTTAGTGATTATAGTTTTAAATTTAGTAACAATTAAAAAAAAAAACGGTTAAATTATATGGAAATTAAATTTCTAACAATTTTAAATGATAAGGTAAATTCTCACCTAACTAAAAATTAATCATTAATAAAAATACTATTTTTATTTTTAAATTAGATTTAAATTTTATAATATAATTTTATAAATATGAAAGTTCAAATTTAACAATTTTACGATACAACTGTAACACCAAAGTAAGGAAGAGATACGTGAATGAACTTGTACTGCCAAAGAAAACCATCTTTAGGGTAGGATGACAGGAAGTCATCCACATTGTTAGTATAAAAAGTAATTTTTAATTATTTTAAAATACGTGAGAATATTAGAGTATTCAAGAACCGGTGTTGATTTACAGATATAATCTTCACTCTCTTAAAAGCGAAAAATAAGTAAAATCTAATAATGTGGCAAGAGAGGCAGGAAAGTGGTGAATTTGAATTTTGAATCCTAATATAAATATTTCGCAATTTTAATTAAATCAAAATCTAATATTAAAATAAGTTTATTTCAACCGTGAGAGATTGAATGAGTATTAAATATTGACGGCTATGAGTGGTGAATTATGTCTTTATTCTTTACCATTATTTTTAAATTATGGGCAACAATTAAAAAAAAACTTTTATTTATTTTTCTTCAAATAAATGCTTCTATTATTATAACGACCCGATATTACTTGCTTTGGATTTTTTTGAACTAAAAAATCTCGAGTCAACTAAAGTCCGTGCTACCTTTAAGCTTTAACTCATTTGAATATAGATTTCTTGAATAGTTGATTTTTCTTTCCGTTTTAAATTATAGATTGTTGTAATAATCTTAGAAGAGATGTCCACGAGATGGAGTGGAGCGGGAATGAAAAAGTCTTTCTTGTCCTCGTTCTCACCCTCTATTATTTTAATATAATCGTAACTAAGAGCTAAAGAAAAATCCAACTAATTTATTTTTGATATACTTGAGTGAAGTCAAAAATTGAGATATGATATTTATTATTATAGAGAAATAAAAGATTTATTTTTTTGGTTGAAAAAATAATTTAGATATGAAGAAAATAAATAGGCATAAGAGCTGTCTCTTTCGCCATCATTATTATAATATCCAAGTGGCCACTCTGCACGCTGCTCAATATTAATAAATGTAGACTTTATTATTATTATTATTATTATTATTATTATTATTATTATTATCATTCACACTCATTAAATGGCTTCATTACTTTACACTTAATTCTTTCGGCAATTCCCTAATAATGACAATAATGAATGTAAAAAAAGAATGTTGAAAAATACCTATTTTAGTTATTTGAAAATAATAATTACAATAATAAAATCTTAGTTTGGTCTTAATAAATACATATTGTTTGTTTTATTAATTGTTTTTTTTTAAAAAAAAATAAGTTAATCAAAAGTGCATTATAAATTAATTATTATATTATTATATTTTTCTTATGAAATATTAATGAATGTTTTATGTATTTTTAATAAAAATTATTTATTTGGGCCAATTTCTGATTTGGGCCCATTCCTGAGGCCCTATATTTTGTTTTTTTTTTCCCTCTGAAAAGTTGCAATTTAAGCCATCGTGTTGGCTCGCACGTGCGAACTCATTCTCCAGAAAATTTTGGAATTTGCGGAAACCTATTCTTTTAGGCGCGGCATTGTTTACGATTCCTGGTCGATTTCCGCCATGGGTGAACCTCGATCTCAGCCGGTTTGCGCTCAGGAAGCTCTCGATTTGCTTAATTGCGTTACGGAATCTCCCTTCGATCAACAGAAATGCTACCGTCTCCTTCATTCTTTGCGAGAATGCGTGATTAGCAAGGTAGTCATTCCCTCTGTTCAATTTTCCCTATGACTTCATTGTTTATTTCCATGTTCTTGTAATCAATTGATGCTGTTTTTGGAATTCTCGAATTAGGTCGTCCAGCTCTCGGAATAGGATTTGCCGAGTATTTGTTGAAATTTTGTTGCGTTGTTCTCATCGGAGTTCAAATTGTGATTAACCTATTATGTTTGGATTGAAATAGTTCTTTTAACTGTTCTGGAATGACATTTGATTTCATGCGAGTTTTCTTATTATCAATTTTCTTTGAATCGTTCCTTCGACAGAAAGCGAAGAAGTTCTCTCTGGCTGATGAAGAACAAACAAAACAAATGAAGAATGCTTGAAGGAAGGAATTTTGTAAGAGAAGGATATTGTTCATCTTAAAGTAAGTTCTGTTGTTGATTGTATTTGAAGTTTCCATTTCTAGGAGATATTTATACCTTTCCTTCCAATTACTGAGAATTGAATTATATCAAAAGAGTGACCATTGAGTTCATCAATAAATTGTGTTACTGAAATCTCAAAAGATTCGTCTATTCCCCTTCCTATCAGGTTCTTCCAACAAATCCATCCCTCTCATTACTCAGCTATATACTTGGAACGAATTTCTTGAGAAAAACATTAGTTATCCCAAGAAGCTTGTCTAGATCAAACTTGTTTCATTTATAATTTCGTAAGTGTAGGGATCAAGTAGACACAAACCTCAAAAACCTCAAATCTTAGAGAGATTTATCAAAAATAGGCATAAGCATTAAACAGTAAGCATTCAAATTAGAGGTTTGAAAGTTTGTAGTCCAAAAAGATAGTCTGCATTATGATTGCATTCTTCTACATGTAAAGCTCAGTTCTTGACATTAAACCAGAAAGCAAAAAAAAAAAAAAAAAACGTGATAAATTCTTGAACCCCATGTTTAAATTCCAGCTCTGTAATATCTGAATCTAGTTATTTTGTGGATGAAATTTAGAAACTGATAGAAAGGTCGGCTGAATGGATAATGTAAGTGAGCACCAAGGCCAACAGCATCAGTACATAGGCAATCCCCTGGTCTATGCTTGTCCCTGCAAATTAGCATAACAATAATTCTCATCATTTATGAAATTCATAGAATCATGATTCAAATGAGGAAGAAGAAGAAGAAGAAGAAGAACTAACCATCGCTAGCAGCAGGAGGTTGGGCCGGAGCCAGAGATTGAGCACAAGCAGGGAGAAGCATAGCCAAAACAAAAACAACACCAAAGAAGACGCCAAAGGGGATCTTATTAGCAACGACCGCCATTGTTGAAGGAAGAAGAAGCTTCTAGGTGAAAAAACAAGGTAATTGAAATGGAAGAACGAAATCTCTCTCTGCAACGTCTCTCAGAAATGGAAGAAGTTGAGACGAAACCTCCTGCAGGGGCTCCGGAGAGCCGCAGCAGAGAGAGATTAAATAGGCCGAGTTGATGATTTGAAGCTGTCAAAAGGGAGGGGTGGTTGAGGACCACCGGCCAGTTGACAGTTCCGGAGACAGCGACGACGGCGTGGCAATGGCGGTGTGGCTCTCAATCAAATGAGGCTCTTGATTTTATAGCGCCCATTTGGTCTCAGGCCTTAACGTTGCAACTGCAATGGCCTGTAAATCGCTGGTTTCAAAGCTTCTTTTTTGGGGGTTTGTTTGAAATGGTCAATGGGCTTCATTTGGATTCTCATTGTTCGTTTTTCTGTTTTTTTCCTCCGTCTTTCCATTATTTTAGACGTCCATCCTGAATTTTGCCATTTATTTTCTAAATATTTCTGGTTAATTACAATATCTTAAAAAAAAAAAAAAGTATTTTTGTATAATTATATTATATATTAAATTCAAACTACAAGTCGTCAAAAAGAAAACTAATGTCGTTTGTTCTAACACCTTTCAAAGTTGCAATAAATTTGATGTTTTTTTTTGGAGAATTGTTCATGCCGTGGATGAATGGAAATCCTAATTTTCAAATTAAATGCAAAACGTACTTTTATACGACTTTGTGTTTTAAGTTAAGTTTTATTTTTTTCTCGAGAAATCGAACCGTATCGACATTTGAAATAGTTATCGATGTTTTATCTCAAAGTATACTTAGATATAAATTTTATTTGATCATTTAAGAATATTCGAAATTGAATTTTTAATTTATATGAAAAGTTACATATATTTTAAGTTATGTTCGTATCGACATCTATTTTTTACATTAAGTGTCGGTTTTGGAATGGACTTCAAATTGTCGTTCTCAAGAATATGTAACGACGATTTTGGAATGAGTTTCAAATCCATTTTTCTACTTTTCTACACAGAAATAAGTGAATTGTATCTCACTAGATTATGTTCTCAACTTCCTATTTGATCAAGTTCCTCAAACAATAGACACACTAGCTATAAAAACTATTTTAACTCATGCAAATTAAAAGACAAGCCCTCGCTAGCAGGAATTCATAAATTCACGAGTATTTCATGATCTAGCTTTATACAAACTCATTGTATAGCATACTCTCATTCACGTGCATCCACATAAACTATTTAGATCAAATTATTTGTAACAATTATAAAGTGGATTGTATTAATAGTATTATTAAGGTTGGACACTCAACTTTATTCATATACCATAAACTCTCTGAAACTCCTCATTTCAAAGGAGGTCACCCGAGACACTCGTCTCGGCACACTCGCCCACATTGTAACATATGTATGTGCCACAGGGTAGCTCACTTAGGCCATAGGGCTTAGGGGTGGTGGAGAGCTAACACCATAGTACCCTTATATATATTTTGAGCTAACACCATGGTATCAATCTTCCAGGCATAGACATGATTTTGGTGAATGGTCATACAGTATCGTGCAGCGTCCGTCCAGTGTCCAATTGACACCAAATTTGGCGAGCGTTCATATTTCGTATGGATGGACTTAACTCCAGAACTCCATGCCCAAATTCCTTATGAAACCCTGACTTTTGAGGTTAAGGCCCAGGACCCTTAACCTTCACCCTCTCATCCATTCTTCAGAACTTCTAACTAATCCACATTGTAAAATTATCTACGTGGCACTTTCCAATTAGTCCACAGTTTGAAAACGCGTATATTAAGAAAAAGTTTTCACACTCTTACAAGTAATGTTTAGTTCCCATCTCCAACCAACATGTGATCTCATAATTTACTTCTCTGAGGGGCCAACGTCCTCACTGTTCGGTGTCTGGATCTGATTCCATTTGTAACAGCTCAAACCCATCGTAAATAGATATTGTCCGCTTTAGCCTGTATAACCATCAGTTTAAAACGCATCTATTAATGAGAGATTTCCACGTCATTATAAATATATTTTCCGTTACATATTCTGGAACTACATGCAAATCAATCGAGTGGTAGAGGTAGATTTTCCGTTACACATTCTGTTGGAACGTGTTAAGGATATTTAGCAATAAATTATAGTTTACCATATATATTATATTTGATATTTTATTATAAGGCAAATATCTAACATTTGCCTTATTACTATAGGTATCTTTCCATTTATTGTTATTTCCATTTATTACTATTTCCATATCCTTGTAATTTATTTGATTATAAATAAGATAACTTTCACACCATTTAAGTGTGGTGGATTAATCAAACATTCACAGAACGGAACCGAAAAAAAAAATAGCAAATGCTCAAGAACTTGTATACGTTATACTAAGACATTTATCACTGAACTTGAAACGCCGCCGTAATAAAGAAACAAAACGATGCCGTTCGGAAATACGAAAGCGGCGGGAACATGTTTATAAGTGCTTGCTAATAAAACGGAATTTCAACGGCCACGCCTCCATTTTTTCCAACTAAAATTTGAAGCCCATTCCGAAATCGTCTTCCTATTGATTTTGATTAATTTCTCGTACGACTTTGATCAAGTTTGTCGTTACAGTAATCCGACAAGAAACCCCATCTTGAGATTTCCGTTCTTGTTTCTTTTCCTCAGTTTCCTGGCGGTTTTGGCGACGTAATTACACCATTCGTCGATCAAAAACCGCCCTCCAGGTGTTTGATGAATTGCCCCAATGAGAAATTGACTCCCAAACTCGGATTTTCGTTTTTTCTTTGAGTTTATAACGAGGAACTCGATTCCACTGGGTAGTTTTTGGATGCTTGATTCTGAAATTACACGGGAAGTTTGAAGGGAAGGTGTTGTTTTCGTTTTGTTTATTGAGACATTTTGAATTCGTTGATTGTTTCTCTTTGATTGATACTCTGCTTATAGCTTCTCATTGTTGTGTGATTGAATCTCTAGGCAGTCGCGTAGTTGGAACGGATATTAATCTTCGTTCGGGGAACGGTTGCGTGCATTGGTGGAAGCTTCCTCTCTGAGCCGGAATGGAACAATTCCGGCGCATTGGAGAGGTATTCGGAAGCTTAAAGGCTATAATGGTGTTGCAAGATGATATTCAATTCAACCAGAATCAATGTTATTTACTGTATGACATGTTTAGTTTGGCTTTTGATACCATTGCTGAAGAGATCAGGGATAATCTGAAGCTTGAAGAGAAGAACACAAAGTGGAAAGCTCTCGAACAGCCATTGAAGGAACTTCATAAGGTCTTCAAAGAAGGGGAGCTTTACATTAAGCAATGCATAGATTCCAAAGACTGGTGGGCTAAAGTAATCACCTCCCATCAAAACAAAGAGTGCATTGAATTCCACATCCACAACTTGCTTTCCTGCTTTCCTGCTGTCATTGAAGCGATCGAGATGGCTGGAGAGATATCCGGGCTCGATCAGGACGAGATGGAGAAGAAAAGGCTTGTACTTACCAGGAAATATGATATGGAATGGAATGACCTCAAACTGTTCCATTGGAGATTTGGGAAACAATATTTGGTACCTCCAGGAATCTGTAACCGGATGCCGAGTGTTTCGAGAGAAGATCGATGGCTGTTGGTCGAAGTGCTCAAGGAGAAGATCAGCTCACCAGAAACAGCTTGTTCGAAAAACGAGCAGCGCCTCGGTGAGTTGTTGATAAAGAAACTAAACAACTCAGAATCATTGAATGCAAAGCTTTTCCCTAGCTCAGTTTTGTTTGGAACAAAGGATTATCAGGTGAGGAGACGGCTAGAAGGAGGGCAGTATAAAGAAGTCCAATGGTTTGGGGAGAACTTTTGTCTGAGACAGTTCATGGCGGAAGGTAAACAAATAGATTCAGAGGTTCAAACTGTTCTATCACTTTCACATCCTAATATAATTCAATATCTCTGTGGGTTTCTGGATGAGAAGAAGAAAGAGTACTTTCTTATAATGGAATTGATATCTAAGGATCTTTCTTCCTGCATGAAGGATAATAATGGAGCCAGGAGGAGAATCCTGTTCCCTCTCCCTGTTGTGGTTGATATCATGCTTCAAATTGCTAGAGCCATGGAATACCTTCACTCCCAAATGATCTACCATGGAGATTTGAACCCTACCAATGTGTTTTTGAAGCCAAGAAACTCCTCAGAAGGCTATTACCTTGTAAAAGTCACTGGTTTCGGTTTACCATCCGTCAAGAATCCGCCTCCCAGGAGCTCAACAGATCAAATGGAAACCAACCCTTTTATCTGGCATGCCCCAGAAGTTATGGCAGAGCAAGAACAAGGTCCAGTAAGGAAGACAGAGAAAGCAGATGTTTATAGTTTTGGTATGCTTTGTTTTGAGCTTTTGACTGGGAAAGTTCCATTTGAAGATGGTTATTTACAAGGGGAGAAGATGAGCCGTAATATCAGAGCAGGAGAGAGACCTCTCTTCCCATTTCCAGGTCCTAAATATTTGGTGAGTCTTACCAAAAGATGTTGGCATTGTGACCCTTCTCAGAGGTTGTCTTTCTCTTCGATATGTCGAATTCTTCGCCAAGTGAAGAAGTTTCTGGCTATGAACCCGGAAAGCGATCGGCCCGAACTGCAAACGCCTACTGCCAATTACTGCAACGTCGAAGCAGGAGTTGCAAGGAAGTTGTCCTCTGATGGGGTTGGAGATTTGTGTTCAGTTTCACAAATTCCATTCCAAATGTTTGCTTATAATCTTGCAGAGAAGGAGAAGACTTGGGAGTCTGGAAGTGATGTAGATGAACCAGTTTGTGTAACAGAAGATCCATTCACCATGCTTACAAGTGGTACCAGATCACTTTATTCTGATACGAGATCTATCTATTCTGAAGCTCCACCAAAGAAAATGCTAACTACAAAGAAACTTCCACACACAAAGATCAGAAAAGGCACAAGTAAGATTTTTATTTCCTTCAAAACTTCATGTTATGAACTTTAACTACTGAAGCTTGTGGTTGGTTTTACTCAGGAACTCCAGAAACAAAAACACGAACGACTTCGAAACCTCAAGTATCGAAGACGAATAGAAATATCCCGCTACCATTTTTGAGCCCTCTGAGTAAGGGAAGAAGAATGGTCATGTCTTGAACTTGGAGATTGGCTAGCTTATCTTGCTTCTTCAGAGAAGGAAGCCTTTTTTTGTAGAGATTTTCTTCTGCATTGTTGTGAAATTTCAGGGATTGTTCAAGTCATATAGAGCACAGGTACTTCATTTGTTTTCTTTTCTCTTACAGAAACAGTCTTGGCATTAAGTTCATGTTAGCTTCTTGTAATCAAGCTCTGTAGTCTTTGGACTTCTTAGAAAGAATAGCAGATTCTGTTTTTTCTTTTCGAGTTTCTGTTTTTTCTTTTCCTTTTCAACTCGTAAGAACACAGGGCAGTAAAGCTTTTTAAGTTTTGGTTTTTTCTGTCGGAACTTGTAAATTTTCTTCTCAAAACGGGATCAGAAGCTAGGGCATGTGATTAGAAGCTAGAGCATACATTGCCCTGATGTAGGCAACACGGTTTCAAATTATCTTAGTTCAATAGTCTATCTTTTGTTTTGATAAGGTAAGTTATCCCGCTTTAAGTTTTAATTTGATAAAATAGAAAGTTAAAAACTTAATCTTGTCAAAGTCCGAACTCTTTTATTATTATACATCTATCTTAAAAGCCAAAGATTCAAATTTCCATACCACGTTGTTAGACTCAAAGAATATTTATGTTCAGACGTCCGAATATAGGGAAACTATTACTTATACAATGTCAAACAAACGAGTGGACGACATTAAACTCAAAAACGAAATTTATCTTCAGACACTCAAGTTCAAGGAAACTGTTGCTTTCGCAATGTCAAACGAACTAGGGCACGATATTAAACTCAAAAACGAAAATTTGTGTTCAGACGCTCGAGTTCAGGGAAACCTTTGCTTTCACAATATTTAACAAATGCTAAATAAATGAAATTGAAATTATTTATGGGTAATTATATGGTCTGTAACAAGAATACTCCATGCTTAGATAGAGCAGTCAAAGGTAAAATTGGTCTCCCATATCCATTCTGTCTAAATAAACTCACAATTCAGCCACAAATCAAAAGAACACAATATAGAAAAAGAAGCGACCTAAAGAGACAAAATTGGAGAGTTCATTACAAAACCTTATCTTGAAATTAGCACAAATCCTTGGAAAGCTCAAGGAGAAAATCACAATCCAGAAGAGGAAGTGTTCAATCTCAATATGCAACCATTCTGCTTCTTATGCAGCTTTTATAACTAGCTGTTGGGTAAAATTACAATCACGAAAAGAATCGAATAAATTATCAGTTAGAACAAGTGTATACTTCAGACACATTTCTTTTTAATATATACAGTCACAAAGAGACAGCTTTTCAATCATATCATTCCATATATTGAATCGATATCTCAGCTTATATATAACTCAAGAAAAGAAGGAAATATGAGATGAAAATGTAAATGATGTTACCATTTTGTTACTTATTCTCAGAATTGGGCTTCAGATACTGTCAAATCCACGAGCTGTAACGTGACCGAATTGGTCGAGTTAATTAGAGAATCGGTTTTCACACTCAAACCATTTGCAGTACTTTTATACACCCGCTTGAGTTGGCTGCAACAACCATGTCAGATTTTCCTCTCCAGCATACACTTGAAACGAATTGTCCATTGTCGTCCTCCGTCTCTTTACCCGAAATAGGGTCGACAGAACCGAACTTGTAGGAAGTCATTGGCATGGGCAGAGATCTATGGTAAGCATATACCTGAAAGAGTTTAAATATGCAATCTTAACAGTGTATTCCACTATTTCTCAAGAGAAAATGGGTATCCAAAGAAAGATAAAGAACATACTTCATTTGTTTCTGAACCACAAGCGATGTAGCCATCGAAAACGGATAGACCCACGAAATTCTAGCAGTGGAGAAGACCAGAGAATTCAGTAAATCGAAGAATAAATAGAATGAAGAAGCTTCTATATTCTTAATTCAAAGGAAGGCATAGAGAAGAAAAAAGAGACAAACTTTTTCATTAGTGTGGCCACTGAGAGTTAAACTACAAGGATTGGTAGACAAGCCAGTAGGATTGGTTCTATTAAGATCCCACAGCTTCAATGTGTTGTCTGTGGACGCAGAAACAAGGGTCTCCGAGTCCAAGAATTTCACATAGCTTACAGCTTTCTCATGCCCACCCAACACACACCAGGGGGCTTTAGTATTACGTAGATCAAAGCAATAGGTTCTGTAATCGGCAGACCCAAAAGCTAGCAAATGAGTTGAGTGAGCAGAGAACTGAACACAGCAGACATTTGCTATGTTCCTGATTGTGCCCAAACATTTTTTCTGCAGTAAAATAATGCACAAGGATCAATCTATTTTCACGGTGATCTTAAGGAAGAGTGAAGCTTCTCCTGCACAAACCCTTACAGTAAAATGAAGCTTTACTCCCCCTCCAAATCCTGGAATTGGGCATTACATTGCAAATAAAAGTAAAAGCAAAATAATCCACAAGGTTCAAGAGAGAGAGAGAATGCATGCCTCATTTATGCCCCAAAGTTTTACAGCACAATCGTCACTTCCACTGGCCAATTTTGTAGGATGAACTTGTGAAAAGTCAACGGACCACGCCCTCTTCTCGTGTTCTTTGAATTGAGAAACCTCTTGACCTACAGTTGCATCCCACAACTGGAAATCCATTCAAGAAAAAGGAATTCTGAGTGATACTTCAAACAAAATAATAATAATCAGATTAATATACAGGTTCAATCTCTTAACTCAGTTTTTGTTTGTTTGGTTCCTCAACTCGAAAAAACATGTCTAAATAGGCTCAAGGTTTATGAATATTTAGTCCCTAGACACTAAATTGAAAGTGATCTTATATACCAGTTAATTTTTTAAAAAATTAATATATCAAATACAAATTCAGAAACTTACTAGACATTTTTGAAGATTAAAGACTTTTTAGAAAAAGTTGAAAGTAAGGGCATTATTAGATATTCTCAAAGTCTCGGAATCTTTTAGACACAAAAACTGAAGGTTTAGGGACCTATTAAACGCTTTTTTTAAGGAACGATTTAGACACAAGTAGAAAACTTCATAATTTAACCTAATAGTAATAACTGTTAAAGGCTGTAGCAGAAGTCCACATTTGATAGCACACTGACCAATGAGGAAGCAATAGTCTTACAATTCTTATACTGACCAGGCAGACCATGAGGAAACAATACTCTTAAAATTCAACAAAATCTCAATAACCAAGGCATTACGAAGAGGGAGACACGGTGCCTGCAAGGCCGTGTCTTTGGAATTTCCATGTTCCATAACCATGCAGGAAACATACCTTAACCACACCGTCGTAGTCAGTTGAAGCCAGATAATTCCTGATGTAGCTATTCCAGCAAACACAGCTAAGCTTTGATCTATTAAACATTTCAACTGCGGGATAGTGAATATCGACCGAATCACTAAAGAGTGAGTTGAACTCAAAAATCCTTATTTTCTTTGACACTCCAGCAGCAGCAAAATAGTCCTCATCCCGATCAAAACTCAAGGAACAGATTACATTTGAGGAACTGTTAAAATCACCGTTTCTCAGTACCCCACATACTTCGAACTTGCAATAGCGAGAATACTTGCAAAACCCATCAAAAAAGGCACCCAGACGATCACCGTGACTCCTCTCATCATCTTTTTGTAGTAGATAGCAGTTTTCACGAGCTCTCAGTAAATCTTTATCTGTCCGAATTGCTGGGTCATTCTTAGAAGGATCTACTTTTGATCTCATGGAAAAATAAGCACTTTCAAGCTGACTTATATTTTTTACAATTCTCTCTTCATTGATATGTGATATTGTATACACCTGCGAGAACCCATCTGAGTTTAGACATCCTCCATGATAGATCGAACTATCCCTTCCATTCACGGTATTAGACAAGCTAGATTTATCCAAGGCTTTGGCTGAACTGTGCCTTTTATTGACTTCTTCAATATCTGATTCTAAATACCGTATGTCTTCCATCAACTTTGAGGCATGTTTCCGCTTTTGTTCATTCAATGATGTGAGGAACTGCAATAATAACTCTGATTCAGCATCTTCCTCGTCAATAGATGTTGAAAGCTCTGGTGCCGGAACATTTGCTATTCCATTGATTAGTTCTGATTCTAAAATCTCCCTGTTCATCCAGAAATTACAAAAATCTGGTTATGTTACACATAAACAATTAATAGATATCACATACAATGAAACCAGTTAACCATCAATAGAGGTCTTTTAAAAAAATAACCATCAGTAGAAGTAACCAAGTGATATTAATAGAAATCCAGTTAAATTACTTTTTTTCATTCAGATACTCCTTTTTTTTTCTTTTTCTTTTTTTGCCGTTGTGTCAATTTCATCTCCACACCATAAATTTTATTCCTATACCTTTCATTGCTAAAAATGGTCCCTAAAATAGAAAGCCGAAGTTCATTTTGACTAGAAGTTAACACAGCAGTGTCAGCTAACCATAAACCCTCTCATAGTATACAATCCAATTTGCCCTCATTTTTTTTCCTTTCAGAATTCCACTTTTCCTTTCCTTCACCGGCAATAATAGATTATAAAAATTAGCCTAATTCTGAATCCATCCGGACCCAAATATATTCAAAATTTTGATATTCCATCTATATGTACTTCAATTTGTCAAATATCTTCCAGGCTTACAATTTGAAAAATAGCCTTAATATTGAACCCATAAAAAAAATGTCACCCAAGCACATCTTGATAAATTTGCTGCCACATCCATGATCAGTAGACCTTCATTAATTGTAAGAACCATTGATTGGGATAAACTACAGGGATGAAACTGAAATTACGGTCAAAGTAAAAGGGAAAAAGTTGTAATTTAAGCTACAAACTGTAAGAGATCACCAAAATGAATCAGATGCTAAATCTTCATCTCTTCTTAGATAGTTTCTCATGAATGAAAGAATTTTGGTTGCCTGAGGTTGAAAGATCTAGTAGGATGTAACAAAAAATTTCCAACTTTACAGGTATTTGAAAATCAAAACCAATAGGGGCAATAAGAGGAATAAATATTGTGCTTACCAGAAGAGAGAGTGATGATTCAACTAAATTAACGAACTTAAGTGAGTAATTATATATGATCTAAGATGTCTGTATGTCCTTATCTAGATTGCATGTCAACGAGATAACTGACAAGCTTCAGAGTTATTAAGCCCCTTTCGGCCAAGACACTTGATGGAAAATCATGAAGGATGACACTCTAAATAAGTAAGCATGTACGTTTTCATTCGAACACTAAGATTTGTGATCTGAGGTAGACTATACTTCATTATTACCTTGTGGTTGGACGAGATGCAGGCTCAGGATGAAGTAGCCAAAGACAAAACCCAACTTCCTTCAAATTATCTGCTAGAAAGTTAGGCGGAAGAATCCTCTCCCTCAAATTTGACATAGCTGCAACAAGTGCGCCATCTGATTCAAACTTTCCAAGTAACTGAAATAAATAAAGTAAATTCATTTATGGGGCATTTTCAGGGCTGCTAGAAAGTAATAGAGCAAAAGAGAGGGAGAACACCCCCCCAACCACCCACCCACACACCACCACCAGTACCACCACAGAAAAAAGAAAAAAAAAAAAAAAA